GGAGCAGGTGAAAAATACAGTTTCCGGACTCTGAACAACTACGTTCTAGTTAGGCAGATACAACGCGTTAGGTTGAGAATTACATTCGCTCCCGCTTCCCTGGGAAAGGACAGTCAGCAAGAAGTGGCAATCCCCTTGCCCTCCGTTTGTCTGGGAGAGCTCCTGACCAGTTCCCTTCTTTCCTCAGCACAAACTCCCCAAGAGTTCAAGCCTCCATCTCCCCGACATCTTTCTTTTCAAGATGTTCCTGCATCCTGCAGCTATGCCATGTAGTCCTTAACTCTTAATCAAAAGCCCTTCTGTTGGACTATAGCTAAGCTGCCTATGTGGAGAACCAGTTATCCATGAAAAAAGCAGAACTGTCAAAGTGGCGATGTTGAACAGAAGGGAGCTAGGTAAATCCTCATGGCCTTCCCAGTACCTCCCTGCCACCATCACACCATTAAGAAAAGGTGGAAGTGACCCCGAAACTCGGTGAGATCCCTGAAGCAGCTCTGCATACATTTCATGCAGGTTTGGTAGAAAGAGAAATTAATTTCATTTTGATATTAACATTTCTGAAAGCCAAACAAAGCCCTGGAAGATATATGCTCCTCTCTGTTCCCTGCTAAAAGACAGACAAAATTGATTTTTTAAACATTCAGCAGAATCTCCTTGCAAAGCTTCCTATATATAACCGCATCACTTCCAAGAGTGAAAAAAACCTTCTCTTTCAAAAAAAAAGCAGAATGTTAAATGAGCCCACACCATGACAAACTTTACACTAAGCAATTCACACTTCAAAAAATGACAGTTTAAAAAAAGTTTAAAATTTTACAAACAACTATAAAAAGTTAAATTTTGTGAACAAGAACCATTGTTTAGAATTTTAAAGTAATTCACCGAACAAAGAATCCATTAATATTTAAGAATTTACTCAACTTTCAAGAGCAAGACAGGATTTTTTGGAAGCCGGATTGATCTTGAAAGAGAAAAGCCACTTTTCCGCCTTCCATTTTAAGTACGCCCTTCTTGTTTTAAACAGGGACTTCAAAAGGGGAACGTGTTTAGAACCCAGGACTCTTCCCTGAAAGAACTGACAACTCCAACACAGTTTGCTTAACTTTCTTTTTTAACTTCTATTAGCCCTAATGACAGTAGCTTGCACATTCAAATTAAAAGTCTTCACTCGGTAAATCTCAGCTACATTTTATATTTTGCCTTTGCTACATTTTTTTGGAGTGTGCTCACCAGGTTCATTTCAAGGTACCAATCATGTCAGATTTTACAGGAAGTAATTTTTGTCAGGTCCCTTGAAAATTCAATATGGTAAAAACAAGTTCAGAATTTCAAAGTGATGTTAGCTTCCAAGCAAACATTTTGCCATTAAAAAACCTCTTACTTTGCATATTCTGTTATTAAAACCAACGCCACTGCAGGAACAAAAATACCAGGAAGGACAAGAACTACCAAAACTAACAATTAGAAAGCTCCCGCAAGAAAATAATATCATATATTTTACTATCAAATTGAATAAATATTAGAATTATGAAATATTTTTAGCAGGAAACAGCAATAGTACATTAGAAAAAAAAAAATCTGTAATTTGTCAGGAATGTGCAAGGTTTATTTTTGGCTCAACCGCCCATGATATAGAATTAAGTGTTCCACTAGATGGAGCAGGATGGTAAAACCATCATGAAGGCCATCCCTCTTGCTGACCCATGAAAAAGTCAATGCCCAGCAACCAGGGATGGTAAGAATTTTAGCTTTCTTCTGTGCATCCAGGGCGGGACAAAATTTTTTCCTCTTCCAAAAAAGGGCAACACAAAACCCCCTTAGTGCTTAACAATATTTACTTCTTCCGTCATAGAAGTTGACTATTAACAAACACTGATCAGAAACAAACAGATGACCAACCACTATCAGAAACAAAACTAGTGTTCTCCATAGCTTTACATTAGAAAGACCAAAATTACAGAATAGTTAAAAGAAAATGAAAATCTTGTAGTATTTTTTATTTTGTAGCAACTGAACTTGCAAAAAGATCTATGCCAAATGATCCAACATTAGTCACCTAATGCAAAAGACATCGCTACACATCAAACAAATTCACACTGGAAACAATGGCAAAACTTCAAAGAGGCTCCTAAAGACCTGGAGCTGTACAAGTCATAGTAAAATTATCTCCCTGGTCTCTTTTCAAACAGAGCTAATTGTTGATTTACCTTTAAGTCTACCTAAACAAACAACAAAAAAGAACCTTACAAATTTTATTTCATCAAATGTTCTCTAAGAGATGCAGTAGTAGACAAACTGTAGCTGTCCACAGTCATGTGGAATGAGAAACCTGCATTTCCTTGACCCTTTTCCAAAAGAAGCAGGGAGTATAAACTAACAAAAACCAGTTTTAACCATTAATATTCCAAATTTAAGCCCTGCAATTCTTGAGCATACGCAACAAAAATACCAGGAATGGTCACAATTATCACAAACATCTTGCCATAAAAAAAAATACTGAACCGTACTATATTGCTGTAAGTGATAAATAACTGCAAACACACAGCAGCCTCTCATGACAATACTAATTATCACAGTGGTATAAATAGCAGAAGAGAATGAATCATTCTCAGATATATGCATGAAGGCACACAAGCAGAATCCTTGGTGACTGATTACAGGCTGCTGCCCATGATCATTGCTGCCATTCTCTTTGTTTTCCGATAAATAAACTGTACTAAAACCAAAAGCTACAAACATGGGCACGTTTCACACCAACGCACTTTCCAACTTACTAAAACTTGCTGCAGTATCTGAAGCTGTCATTTGGAAAGGAACTGGTCTAAGTGGAAGAAGCAGGAAATTTGGTCTTTGAGACAATACCAGTGTCCACTGCAATATGGTGTCAGCCTGTATTAATACCATTTGAAAGCACCTGCAAGGTTTTTGATATACATGTTATTGTCTAACTGAATGCCAGTTTTCCCTACCTCTCTGAACAGCTGATTACCAAGAATTCACTGTGTGGCACACACTCCTTTTCCAAGGTAAGGAAAAGTAAGCACGAGGACCATCCAAAATCACTGTCAGTAACATTCAATAAAAAAATTTGTATATTACAGTCAATATACAGCACAATCAAAACAATACTTACTACTGTGCACAATCAATCAGCTGATATTCATTAGATCTCTCATAACAGGCTTTCACACCTTCGTCTTGCCAAAGTGTTTTTGTATGTTCGTAAAACTCCTGAAAGAGTAAAAATAGCATCAGCAAAATGGATTATATACGAAGAGAATCAGCAAATGGCAACGGATCATTACCACTGTAATAAACGGTAAGTGGTAGCATATTTAACAGAAGACTTTAAATGTTCTTTGAGAACCTGACTACAAGTTCAGTTGGCTTTCTTACTTGTTTTGATTTTAACGTTTTATAACACTTAAAAGAACTGCTTCTTAATCATTTTGATTGAGTCTAACTATATATTGAAAGAAGGGTTAACTTTTCATTAATGACAATTCTGTTGGCGTTTTTAATAATCAATACTATTTGGTAACATTTTTTCTTTAACTCGTGATTCCACTGCATGTTATATTTATTTGGCTGTTGAGATGTCTTTTTTCCTTCAACAGAACACTACTTCTCAGTAATTCTTACATAAAGGTAGCAAATGATGATTAGATTTCACTTGACTTTCCAAGTTAGTGAGGATCTTTGGGGACTACACAGACATCTGTATCTTATTTAACTCTGTATCACTTAAAGTATTTGCAGAATTTATTCTTATACAGTACAAAGGGACATTGAACTGCCGAAGAAATATAGTGATACACAGCTAGATCATGTTTTGATTGTGTCAACCTTAAAAATCATAAGCCAAGATACAAAAGCAGACGCCAAAAACGCAATGCTTCAGTTTTCCTGAACCTGTAACGCAAGTGTAAATAAAACACAGCCAGAAGCCCATTCTTTTTTACATATGAAAGATGCACTTTGGCTCCAACAGGGGCATACAATACGTAATTGTATTTCTGGCCGCCAAGATACAAAAGCAGACGCCAAAAACGCAATGCTTCAGTTTTCCTGAACCTGTAACGCAAGTGTAAATAAAACACAGCCAGAAGCCCATTCTTTTTTACATATGAAAGATGCACTTTGGCTCCAACAGGGGCATACAATACGTAATTGTATTTCTGGCCATCAGTCTAAGAACTTTGAACAGACTTAGAAAGAACAGCAGCAGCCTAGTGACTTAAATACACATACCACTGTGGGCATTACTTTTATCAACAACCATGGACTCTTCTTGGCTCTCCCTCAGAGCTTTTAAAGTGTTTTGGACTAAATACTTTTATTCTGCTTTTAAGCAGCTCAGGTAACTTATTCCAAATCAGGTTTTTTTGCATCCAGGACAGCATATGACCTTTAAAATAGTTGCTGAATATATTCTATTTCTGCCCCAACCCCTTCTCTTTATAGTAGAAATATTTTAAAGAAAAAGAATATATTATTTTAAATAGCCATTACTGCTTCAAGGTTCCTCCATTAACTTAGCTTTGGAATTACTCCCTCTCTTGGGATATCAGTCTCTCGCGTTCCTTTACTGTCAGTGTAGTACAAACAAAGGGGTGACATCCAAATGTGACTTCCAAGGTTCCACTTGAAAACATCTTTTTAAAGAATTCACCTTCCTACCAGAATGTTTAGTAACAACTGAACTGTTCAAGAATGGTAGATGCTTTAAATGGCATCTTAAAGATGCGTAACGGCACCTTAAAGTAAATGTAGTGATGCAGATTTTCAAACCATCCTCTTTTTGGCAGGTATAAGATGCATATGTGATTGTGTGATCATACAATTGCAAATACCAATGATGGAAACAGGCTATCAAATGTAAATTTGATCTTGCTTTTATTGCTATTGAATATTCACTACCTGCACATACACACAAACGATAGTAATGCAACTACACATCTAAAAAACTCTCCATGATAGAAGTTTGTTCTACTTTCTTTTAAAGAGCTTATAAAGTTTATATAGAGTATGAGATGTATCTTTTCGGTTTGTTCCCTGCTTTTAGGAACTGTTCTTGAACAAAAAGACCAGTTAAACTTCTTTTGTAAATAGGTAAGAAGATTTTACTTTATTTTTAGTGTTTGTAGATTGTATGACCATTTGCTGTTAAAGGAAATAAAAGATGAATCAAAATGTTAATTCCAGTCCTCAGTTTTCTTTCTCCCACTGCTGGAATGTTGTTCATTGGATGCTCTCATTTTGAAGGGTTCCAATTTTTTGGCAGTTGGGGGACTGTCAATTACTTTCAGTCTCCAACTGTATCACAGCTTTTTCCAAAGCAAAAAGGAGTAGGAAGAGAAAGTAAAGGAGACAAGGGGAATTATCCTGAATCTCACTGTATTTGAACCAAACCCATTTTGGGGTGGCTTTATATATGTATTTTTAAAACTAACAGTAGTTTAACACAGATCATCTTATGACTCACTCAACTTATTACTACAAAGCTGAGAAATTAAAAAATTGGATCATCAATAGGATTGAGCACTACTTGGCAACAGCTGAAAACATCAGTGTGTTATCAACATTCTTCTGGTACTAAATCCAAAACACAGCACTGTGCTAGCTACTATGAAGAAAATTAGCTCTATCCCAGCCGAAACCAGGACACTGGCCATCAGTCTAAGAACTTTGAACAGACTTAGAAAGAACAGCAGCAGCCTAGTGACTTAAATACACATACCACTGTGGGCATTACTTTTATCAACAACCATGGACTCTTCTTGGCTCTCCCTCAGAGCTTTTAAAGTGTTTTGGACTAAATACTTTTATTCTGCTTTTAAGCAGCTCAGGTAACTTATTCCAAATCAGGTTTTTTTGCATCCAGGACAGCATATGACCTTTAAAATAGTTGCTGAATATATTCTATTTCTGCCCCAACCCCTTCTCTTTATAGTAGAAATATTTTAAAGAAAAAGAATATATTATTTTAAATAGCCATTACTGCTTCAAGGTTCCTCCATTAACTTAGCTTTGGAATTACTCCCTCTCTTGGGATATCAGTCTCTCGCGTTCCTTTACTGTCAGTGTAGTACAAACAAAGGGGTGACATCCAAATGTGACTTCCAAGGTTCCACTTGAAAACATCTTTTTAAAGAATTCACCTTCCTACCAGAATGTTAACTAACACCTGAACTGTTCCAGAATGGTAGATGCTTTAAATGGCATCTTAAAGATGCGTAACGGCACCTTAAAGTAAATGTAGTGATGCAGATTTTCAAACCATCCTCTTTTTGGCAGGTATAAGATGCATATGTGATTGTGTGATCATACAATTGCAAATACCAATGATGGAAACAGGCTATCAAATGTAAATTTGATCTTGCTTTTATTGCTATTGAATATTCACTACCTGCACATACACACAAACGATAGTAATGCAACTACACATCTAAAAAACTCTCCATGATAGAAGTTTGTTCTACTTTCTTTTAAAGAGCTTATAAAGTTTATATAGAGTATGAGATGTATCTTTTCGGTTTGTTCCCTGCTTTTAGGAACTGTTCTTGAACAAAAAGACCAGTTAAACTTCTTTTGTAAATAGGTAAGAAGATTTTACTTTATTTTTAGTGTTTGTAGATTGTATGACCATTTGCTGTTAAAGGAAATAAAAGATGAATCAAAATGTTAATTCCAGTCCTCAGTTTTCTTTCTCCCACTGCTGGAATGTTGTTCATTGGATGCTCTCATTTTGAAGGGTTCCAATTTTTTGGCAGTTGGGGGACTGTCAATTACTTTCAGTCTCCAACTGTATCACAGCTTTTTCCAAAGCAAAAAGGAGTAGGAAGAGAAAGTAAAGGAGACAAGGGGAATTATCCTGAATCTCACTGTATTTGAACCAAACCCATTTTGGGGTGGCTTTATATATGTATTTTTAAAACTAACAGTAGTTTAACACAGATCATCTTATGACTCACTCAACTTATTACTACAAAGCTGAGAAATTAAAAAATTGGATCATCAATAGGATGGGTTTTTTGCTGAAACAGCAGCTGATTCAAATGGACGCACACCATTTACATTTCCCATCTAATCAAGATAACTTACACCAGACTTCAGAGAGTTAATTAACTATTTGGCAGAGATATGGTTCTAAAATAGACATTTACTTCAAACTGGAGTCAGCATCTGCCAAGCCAATTATCTGCAAACATACCCCAAAATACTCGCTTCATCCTGCATTACAGTAAGTAAACAAATAACTAGGCAAAGATAAGTTTACAGAAAATGCAATAAAACATAAAGATTCTTCATCACCTACAAATGTACATATAGAGTGAAAAGAGGCAGTGCAGCGGAAAAAAAGTCAGAGCACAGTAAAACTCTGCCACAGAAATGAGACACAAGTCCTTCCTCACTACTGTTTCTCAATACAGCTATGATATTCTGGTAGAGAAATGATATAAAGCAATTATTTTAAGCAACTTATGAACGCCATCATACCTTGTGGAGAAACATTTGGAGTAGTTTCTGCAAAAATGTGACTCTTAAAATGGGATGAAAAGTAAATCCAGTTCCTGGCCCTAGTGTAAACACATTGATAATAAAAAGCCCAGGATTTAGTTTAACAGAACAGTTCGATATTGTTCAGAAGAGTCCTCCCTGTGTTTTAAGGGCAGTTCTTAACTTCTAATAAAATATGTGGATAATGATCAATGTTTGTGCCTTGTTAGGCCAAATTAGCAATAAAAAACACTGCCTGTATGCCTGTCCTGCTAATCTGAACTATAACCAACAATACTTACGCAATCTTTTCAATTTGGTTATTAACTGTCCATGTGGGATGGAAAAGGAATTTAAGCCCACATTCTTTGAACTTTTTATTCGCATTTCAAAATCAGGATCTAAAACAAGTAATGAGTAATAGGTTATTATACTAAGACACAGTGGGCTTTTTGGGGGTGGGTTTTCCTTTTTGTTGCTTGTTTCTGTTTTGTTTTTAAAACTGAACTACATGACCTGTGATAGTCAAACATGAAGGCCTTTTATTAGACCACATCAAATAGATCTTCACACATTTTGGGATTAATGCTGACCCAGCTTACACAACTGTAAACCAGGAAGGTGTTCCCCAAAGGTTGGAACCAGGCTTACAGAGTTCCACTCTCGCTTTACTACAAGCCTACTTGTACAAGTGACTGATTTTGGAATCAAGACATAGTAGCTAGTTGCAA